GGGGGGGGGGGGGGGGTGACCTCTTCCTTTTTGTTTAATGCTTTGTTTTCTGTAATCAGTACTCTTTGTTCTGAGAACAGTAAATGTTTGAAGTTCTGTTTGAATGTAATCAGTGCTGAAAAATCTTCTGCCAGAACTTGGAGTCCTCTTTAGATAATTCTGGGTGAAGAAGTAGTTTACAGTGGTGCAGGACACTGTGGTGGGTTGTCAAAAATGAGAGATAAAACAGATAATGCCAAGTAGAGCTTGCTGAAAACTCTCCCAAGTTTTAAAATCTTCCCTCCTGCCAGGTCTGAGAAGAATCAAGAGTGTATTTTCCAATTCTAGTTAAAAGCTTTTATGTAAAACACATTTAGGGTTGGGTCTTTGAAGAAGCCTGGTATAGTAACTGTTGGCTTATGGATAATGGACTGATGCTTCTTACAGGAGAATGTGGATGGATAGCTTGAAAGGAAGTTGCAAGGCTGTAATTATCCAGACTTAACAGGAAATCTCTCTGTAGCCATGCCAGAGTAGAACTTCATTGGCTGGCTTTGATGCACAGCAATGTTCTTTTAAAAAAGAGAATAAATTGCTTAACTTACTATTTTTCTCTTTTAGTTGCAATATGTAGGTCTTTGTGAGAAGCTTTTCTGTGAAACCAGTAAAACTCAACAGAGTTGGTAGACTTAGCAGTCTATTAACTTCCAGCTCTGTGCATCTTGGTTTTACTAAGAAGTCAATAACTACTACCTACACCTGTGGACTACCCATCTACCTTCACCTGTGGACTCTACTTGGGTCTAGATTGTAGTTGTATGCTTCTAGGTGTGGGGCAAAAACATTCAGTAAGACAGTTCATTCCTGGGTAGCTTGTGTTTTAAATTGACAGGATAAAGGAGAAGAGAGTATTGTTGCACTTCTGAAGATGGAGAACTAAGCCACAGACACTAGCAGCACTTTACGTTGGCACCATACCTAGACTCCTGGTGGCCCTGGATGAACTTTTACTATCAGACCCCTTTATGCCAGAGATGATGATGATGATAATACCCTCTCCCCCTGCCCCATATTCAGCCCCCTTTCTGCCTGGGCCCCAGGGGGCTGCCCAGTTTGCCCATGCCTGTGTTGGGTGCTGTTCTTGGTCTTATAAAGGAAATTGATGGAGTCAACCTGGGTCCTCATCTGTGCAACAGTAGTATTTAAAGCTGACCATTTTGATTCTAAATTTTGAAGTGGCAAAAGAGTAGCTGCTTTGTGCTCATAAACTGCTAAGGAACGGATCACTTCAGTAATATTGAAATGCCTTTCATATTTCCAGGCTTCTTGGCAAGATGACCAGATGTACTGTCTGGTCTCCCTTGCTTGTGTTCACTGAAAGACTTCTGGAGGTAATCTGTGGCAATTCTTGATTATCCTGAAAATCAGGATAATTGCATTATTGACATTTCCTTTAGTCTTTCTGTCTGGATTCTTCCTTGAGTCTTTTTAGTATCTCTCCTCTTTTTGTCTTGCATTTCTCACTTTTCCACTGAGTACCTCAGAAGCATCACCTCTTGTCTTGTCAGGAAACAAGGGCTGTGATATTCCTCTCTGAACCACCAAATTGAGGTGGGGGGGAACCATACATTTACAGAAAGAATAGTAATTTAGTTCTGCAGCTGTTGTCTTTTGCTTAGCCTCCAGCAGTTGTCAGCTTCAACTGTTTCTTTAGAGTTTCTTTGCTTTTACTTTATGTAGAACACCTGGATTCAGTATAATGAGCATAGTCAGACTTGCATTGTCTCTCACCACCTGTGATTT